CTATCTTGCCCAATTAGAATTGCGAAATTTGTCCAAAAATTGTCCTAGTGATAATCGTACGAGTTTTTACTTTATAAACTAGTTTTAGTTAAATGTCAAACAATAGAGTATTTAAAATTAAAGCAGAAATTAACTATTGTTTGTTAGCAAGAAGTACAGTACAATCTGTATTACTACAAGCCATAGACAATGGCTGGCAATATGACAGCGGAAAGTGCGGCAGATCTGGGGCTCTGTATGAAAGACACGGCCATACAGTTTACGGAACAACTGTTGTCCCTCTTCTACATATTGTCTCCTTTAGATCACACCAAAGATCACGCAAAGGATGTCCCCAATTATGAAGTGGCCGTATGTTTACCATTGCATTCATTAAATATTGCTTTAAATGTTTTTATCTTGTTTTGCTTTATTTTATCAAATCATATCATAATATTATATAAAATGCCACCTGGTACAAATGTTTGTTTGTCATTTAGTTGTTTCCAGCGGCCGGTTTCCTGGTGGTGTTGGAACAGATCATTAGGTTCTTCCAGAAAAAAGACCTATCCCGATTCCAGGACATTGTAGTCAATATAGGCTCGTTGCTGTTGTTCACGTTAACAAGGTAATTATTTGGTTGTCGTAACTATTAACATGATAGTTTATCAAATTATTGACTGATTGGTGCTTTCAAAAGAGCCATATTGTTAGGTGTGGTTGTTGTGGTGTATTCATACATTTACGACAACTACCGCATTGTGGACCTGCCGTTGCACTCAGTCTGGACGTGGCTTTTCTCGCTATTGTTGGTTGAGTTCATGTACTACTGGACCCATCGGGCACTTCACGAGATCAATATCTTTTGGGCGGCCCATCAGTTCCATCACATGGCAGAGGACGTCAACATTACCACAACCATCAGGGACTCAGTGGTCGATCTGGTTCTTTACGATGTAAGCAAAATAATGATTATAACCATAACTACAAATATGAATTGATTATTAACCCACAGATATTCCCGATGCCACTGGCGATAATAGTGCCGCCGCCCATACTTATAGTGCACATCCAATTCAGTCTAATATACCAGATATGGCTGCACAACGAAGTGGTGGGCCATTTGGGGCCCATTGAGTACATAATCAATACTCCCCGTCAGCATCGCGTACATCACGGAAAGAATCCCTACTGTATTGACAAGAATTATGGGGCGTTTCTCATGATATGGGACCGCATTTTTGGCACATATCAGACCGAAAAGGAAAAGATTGTGTTCGGAGTCGTCTCTCCGACGCCCAACACATTTGACTCAATGACCCTTCAGTTTGGCTATTATAAAGATGTGGCCAAAAAGTTTAATTCCGTCGATGGTATTGGCAATAAGCTGTCGGCCCTATTCAAGGGCCCGGGATGGGGACCCGGCAAACCACGGCTTGGTTTGCTCAAAGAGGTGCCCGAACCCGATCCGGCCGCTCCCAAGTACTCATACGATCCGTTTATTCCGTTGTGGCGCAAGTTTTATGTGTTATTACACGGCACTATCGTTTTGGTGGCATTCATACAATTGGCCGATCATCCATATATTGTACGCATCCATACATTATAGACTACCCATTAATTAATAGTTACCATTAAAATATCAGAAGCACAACA